ATAGCGGATACTCCATCAACGCCCTATACACTCCATCATGTGTAGGCGAGAGAAACTGGAAAAGACGACTTTTTTCCCGTTTAAAGGCTTTTTATGGGGCTATCAATTATGTATTGTGTGGTAAAAGCGTTCGTTGTAACCATTTTTTTCCAGTGATTCAAAAGGTCACCATCAACAACAACGGCATCAACAAGTATTGCAGTGACATACAACATCAACCTATGGCAAGGATTGTTTCCAAGCACTCTGTAGAGAGTCTTCCCTAAATAATTCCAATTGGCCCGCGAATTTTCGTAATCGAAGCTCGGAAACGCCTTCATTCAACGCTTTCTAGATCACTGACTGAACGCCCCAGAAAACCGGTTCATTCCTTCTCCTGTAAAGTTCATTTCCTGTATCTTGCTTGACTTTGTTCCATTTTTCGAAACGGCGCTGTTTGGCTTGAGGGGGATGAACATTTAATGGTTAACACGTTCGCTAGTTCCGATCCCTAGATCCTAATGGATTGTATAGGTCTCATCTAGGTTAGATCTGTAAACTCTCGACAAGTGCAAAAGAAGCCTCTGCTACTGCATTGTCGCACAGAAATTCACAGGTCTCTACAGCAGAACACTGATGGAATAACATGCCTCCACCAAGCCGAAATGTGCCCTCAGAACTTACCTCGATGGCAATCGGTAGCGGCAGATCTTTAGTGAGACTGATTGTTCTTATCATATCATGAGTGACATATTCGATATCGGTGAGATTCCACATGAAGTTCTCCGCGGTCGGTTCAGCAAAATCTTCATCATTAACGGTATCAATACTCTAAAATCGGGTATATCAAAGGCTTATTCCGCAATATCAAGCGGGTGGTGACTCCTAACCGTTCCTCACTGGCGGACCCTACTTGGAAGCGGGCACACCAATGAGCTAGGTACAATGGTTATGAGCGCTGGGGGCAGGCGGTTGTTGCCAGCGTTATTGGCGGAAAGTCCGAGTGGATGTGGCCAAATGCCCTCTCGCAGCCCCTCCGCCAATAATGGCAACGACCGCTCGCCCTTAGCAATCGTGCTCACAGCCCTCAAGCTCGCCCATGAATAATCGAAAGGTTAAACTCCTTCTATTTATGGGTACTTTCCGAAATCTTAATTAGCAATGCTTCCTCTCGGGTGCGGGAAAGGAGATCCACGGGCGAATCTTTCGACGCCGTGCAATATCTAGCTAATGGTCCTCACGTAGTTAATTGGAAACTCTTTGGCACTTTCACGTTATGACTTGGGGTAAATGCCGCGCACGTGACGCCACAGGTAGCACTACCTTCGCCGCGTCGTTACAGATCTCCTGCCTACACCCTGATCCTGCACTTTTTGTAGAGAAGCAGAAATCGGAACATGCACCCAATTCAATAGAAATGTGAGTTAGGTGTAAGGATGAGCAAACACTAACTTCCGTTGAGAACTTTCCCGCTTGATAACATTTGCCGGGTGGGTTTGTGGACTCGTTCGACCTGAAATCAAGGCAAAATCGCAAAGACATTTACTACAACTACAACACAGTAAATCCAATACAATACTG